GTTGCTCTTCATCAGTAAAGTCTGCCTAGTTTATAGTACAATAATAATTTCTTTCGACTGTATAGCTTTACTCTTGCAGATGCAATAAAGTAAAGACCAGTGCAAAGCACAAGCGTAATGAGCAAATGATCAGTGCAGATTACTTAGAGTGAAGTCGTTAGCAAATTTCCGCCAGCTAGTCACCCACACTTCTGTTCTAAAATCGATTGGTATCATACTGCCGTTGTCCGTAAGGTTCACATTCGCGACATCAATAATTTTAGAGCAAGGCACGTCAAGTTAGCTGACAGGACAACAGCTACCATAGACTCCCTCATTCTTCCGTTCTATGCTGCACGCCTCCCTCATTCCATAGCTGCGGGGCGTACAGCATCTCGACGTCACACGAACGCCTTGCCAGCTCGTGCTTTCGCAGCCATAAGTGGTGATATTGGCGTCTCTCACGACTTATTATTGCGAGCACTCGACAAGTTTCAGAAGATAGCAGCTAGAAAACTGTCATTGCCAACATGCCACCCTCGTACTTCCGGTCCATTGTCGACAGCATCTTTATGTTATTACTAGATGACGTGAAGAAGCTAAAGAAGAGTCTGCTCTCATCAAAGTGCTAATAAAGGAGGATCATCAGCTGCAGGCGGGGGACTCGCTGGAGTATGTACTCAAAGAGAACTATGTGCCTGCCTCTAAGTCGAGACAGACTCACGTGCTGGTGGTGGTTTCAGTTCATGTTTTTGTTGACACCATCCAGATTACTATAATATATGCGCTAGCCTTTTCGACATTGTTTGTTTGGAATTGATTTTTGCTGTTAGAATGTTGTGGGGTCGATTCTGTCATATGCGCCACATTAAAAATCGAAGCGTGACCTTCCGAGCATTCACAGAAACCTTACGGAAACATCCAGTCCAAGATTGAGTCCAACACCCAGAGAATAGTATATTTAAAAAGGTATCGCAGCATTTTTTCTTCTACTTGCGGAATGATATGTATTGGAATTTTTATCACAACAGCTATTTGTCCAAGTGCTCATCTCCATAATTGATCTCACTCCGAGTCAAAGCCTCTCCCCTTCACGAATCAATAACAAGATGTATATTGTGAAAAGATGTAAGCCTAAGTCTTAAAGCTACGAGCATTGTAAGGAAAATAGCTTGACGTAATACTAAGAACATTGCGCCGGCAATTCTTTTCTAAACCGTAATTTACCACCGAAAACCTTCTTTCGGACAGCAGCAATATCAACGATGCAATCTCTTGACCACCTTAGATCGTAGAATCACGAGTTTTCGGTATTAGGATAATCTTAGAACTGCTTAAATATCAGCTACTATTCTACTTCCGCAACCTCTCAGTTATCTTCCAATGCTGAGACTATTGATAAAATAATTCGAGCAGAATTTTACCAGCGATGTGGCGTAATTTGAAAACTACGTCACCACCATGTCCGCTCAAGTACGCCTGAAACTTTAAAGATGGTAAAACGATCGTTAGTGTGGCAGGTGATGCGTTTAGCGTGGACATTGATGCGGATCAGTCGGTGAGAGATATCAAGGATGCAATAATGGCGAAGAATCCAGACAAGCATTAGTGCGACGTAGCTAAGTTGGAACTTTTTATAGCTAAGACGAAGGGCGGCGCGTGGCTCGATCGGGCTGGCGCGGTTTCTGTGGCGCTTGATACCCCCAAAGTTGTGTGCTGATGGATTCCACACTTTGGATCAACATTCCCATGCACCTTAGTGATTATTTTTGATTGGCTGAAGGTACTGGTGGTGGTTCGTCTCCTGTTCTCGCTGACATTGGTGTATCTCCTTCCAGATGCTGAGATATAAGCGTACCTGTTCTCGACCCTAGCCACTTGAATATATATTAACGAGTTTTTCAGAAAAAATTGAAGACGGTGGTTCATTAGCGCTCAATGATTCCTGCCTCTCATATTGGCCGTCATTATATTCGTTATTGTGGCCTTCGGACACTATCAATTGGAAACCACGCGAGTATCAGCCAGCTGTTGCTGAACCAGTGATTGCTGAAATAATAGCTGCTGAACCTGTAGTTACTGAGCCTGTAGCTGATGAATCAATGATGACCAAGTCTATTGAAGAAAATTTTGGTGGGCATTGCATCCGGCACATCAAATCTGTTGATAAACATGATGAGCTCAAGTTGGGAGATTCGTGCGTATTGTCACCAAATGATTGAATCAAGTCGAAGTTGCACGCAGTTTGTGATTCTTTCGACTTCAAGCTTAGTGATAATGTCACACCTGACTTTGGGAACGACGGATACACGTACCTTTTGCAATATCAATTTAATGAACTGGATGAAGCGGAGATGCTTGCTCACTTCTTCTTTAAGTCCAGTGAAGACTGTGAATCATTTAAACAAGCGAACGTGGAATGCGGTGTGGAATACTTCCTCGCTAATCGATCCTACGATGATCGATTGCATGAATTATGCATGATGATATCGAAGTGATTGGTTCTGGTACAACCAATCGTGTGGTATCGCAGCTGCACAGCTGCGATACCACATCAGTAACAAAACGATTATTTGCTCCTAAACCTCATTCTGATTGAAATTTGATGCGCAAGACCTAACTCTGTGTGCTCAAACAAATAGTAGAGCGTTTCAACAAGAGGTTTGCTACCAAAGAGTTCGATGGTTGATTTGATTCCAAGTACGATCTATTACTCAAGAAGGCAAATTGAAATTTGAATTGATACTGCTGTATACAAGCAATGGAAGGCTGAACATGAAGTCAAGGAGACAAGGAGTCAAGGAGAAAATTTACTTCGAAGGCATTTGAGCTTTCTGAGCGGAAGCTGGCAACAATAATGAAGTTAACTGACCGAACCATTGACGGCATGTGTTCAGCAATAATTGATACATTTTTTGCGATCGAAGCTTAAGTATTGGGCGGAGAAGTATCTAGTGATCGCGATTAAGCCCAATCGTGACTTTGATTTGAATTTCAGTACTTTCGAGAAGATTTTGAAAAGTACAAAATTTAAGTCTCTTCATTTTCTGACATGATTTGTGCTCTACTTCATCCACGAGTTTTGCGCTTTGGAAGGATCAGATATTACATACTACAAACGTAAGCCAACACAGGACGATATTTCTACTACTAGCGTAAGCCAACACAAGAAGATATCTCTGTATTCAAGGTATATGATCCAAAGGACTTTTCAAGGTGCAAATTCAGTTCATTGAAAACAAGAAGCCACGCTCCACGAAGCTGTCTGACCTTCTCGTTACGGTTCCATTCCACAAGTTTGCATATACTGTTTGCAAATGAGAACATGATCCAAATGATATGAGACAGCTTGGCAACTCCACTACTGGTAAAGGATCTGCACGAAAAAGTTACCAAATGTGACTTGCACCCAGTACTGGCCAATTATTTCAAGCATATTATTTATTTTAATCAACTAGTGGTTGATTGAATATATTTGTAGCTATTGTCACTATCCAGACAGCAAAACAAAGGTTCTTTCGTGATCACTGTCCCTGGCTTTAATGAATGATTTAGCTGGCCAGACCAATCCTTTTTATCTCACAACAATTTGACACTTTTGTAGTTTCAGTTTCAGCCTAAATCATTCGCGTATGGTTTGTTTATTTGCTAGGATTCCACTGTGCTGCAACCAACCAAAGTATTGATTGTAATGGAGGGAATCGGGTCTATATTCCACACAATTGCGTCAGATATTCCTCGAATTTGTAGCGTAAAACTTGTCCATCATACATTACATTCTAATATACTGAGCAGATTTTGTGCCATTTCCAAGTGCTCTCAACTTCTCAACGCATCGTGCATATATGTGTATATTCAACGATCAAAGTTCGGTTCACTTTGCCGCTGTGTCTGTGTTTCGAATGACACGGCAGTTTATAATTTTGATCTTAATGTGTATGATCGTATCCATCTATTTGGCGAGATAAGTTCATCGAAGTGGTGTCAATGTGATGTCTGGTGGCATGGTCATCGAGAAGTTTAATTATGTGCGTAAAATTGTGTACGCACATATCATGTACTGTAATAGTACAGCACGTACCTTGTTACAATAACTGCTGAGGAAGGTGTTGCATATGGAACATTATCACACCAAGTCATTGGTGATACCCTGACACAACGAGTTACATTGATCATAACTGCAGAGGGAGGGAATTACGATTGCACTACCTGACGGTAACCTAGTTCCGCCATTAACATTGTTCGAATTTTTAACCATATATATGTTATTAGTCATATTCATACAACTTCAAATAATATTTTTCTTTTTTGTGTAAAAGCCCACCAATGGCACAGGTATATATTTTGATATATTCGGATAAATATCCCCCATACCACGACAGAAGGGCTGCAGCTGATTCCGAAGGAGGATAGGTTATAAGAAGTTTATAGAGGTTTATACTGAGCCTGAGGAAAGATGCGGCAATTATATTTTATTTGTGATTTTGAGAAGTTAAAATCAAGTCAAAACGAAATATGGGGGCAATAAATAATTTATCGATAAATTTCATTTCCATATTTTAAGAACTGCTCTATATAGTAACAAGTCTAATTTATATATCATTATAGTTACCACTATAAGAAACACCAACTAATTATATTCTTGTAAATTTATTCATGCAAAGCATCAAAAGGTATATAATTCAGGAAAAGAAGTCAAATTTGATACTATCCTGGATTGTATCTCAAAATTCCACACAATTACCAGAAATGACCTATAATATATCCAGATATCTCTATGCATAAAAGCATCGTATACCTAGTAATGTTGATGAACGTGTTGCACTGGCTGATTATGGAGGGCGAGAATCAGTCATTTGTTCTTTTACCAACAAACCAAGAAGATGAAGCTGTACCAAAATCTATTGGATGCTGCCTTATTGTTGTCGAGGATTGAAGCTTCGTACACGATTGACAATAAGCAGGAAAAGACGGTTAGTGACCCCCACACGGCACGTAATGTACGAGTTTAATCTCCTACAATGGAAGAAAGGATTAACGATAGCGGCATCATTGAGTGGCTCGAAGCTCTTAAAAATAGTTTCGTCACCAAAGCTGACGAGGTGGAGAAGACCATTCACAGCATTCATCTTAGTGATCCTGGTATAAAAAGAATGATGGTGAACAATCTGGAAGATATGGAGACATTTCAGCGTTCAAAAATGACGATAATGCTACGTGTACTTACAATGCGACTATACAATTTGAAGGTATTTAACGATCTGCGGTTACAACGTCGCGAGGATGCTCATTTACAAATTGGTATGCTTCAGTTCTTCGATGAAGACATCATGAAAAAACATCAATATGGCATGGATCATGCAAATATAGAATTGTCGTACATTTACCGACGACAGAAGTTGCTAGAAAATCTACTCAAAGGGACAGAAAGCATTGACAAAATCGAAGCGCTGAAGAATTACTATCATGAACTCGAAATCCTCAACAAAAATCTGAGGTGCGACATGATGCTTCACAGTGTCAAAAACACTTACAATTCATGGAATCATAAACTGAGTGATCAGCTTGATGAGTTCAGAAAAGTGATAGAAGAACCCATTTCAAAATCAGGATGCTTCTCTCACTAGACAAGAATTACTGAAGAATGCATGTATCAAGCTCAACTTTCCTCCAGCTACTTTCGACAAAGAGAAACCTGGTGAGATTTTTGGATTTTTAGAGTACCGTGTTCTCTATGAGTACGCTGAACTTCTCGCGCTTAAATCAAGACGAGTTGTTGGTTCCAAACGGTTCAAATTGGCTCCACTCACTCCAGCCCATTTGATGAGAAAGTTGCTTACTGAGCATATTGGTTTGGACTTTACAGACCGTACAGCAATATCAAGAGAGTACAAAGACGTAGCTATTGCAACACTAGCTGATTATATCGTACCTTGGAAGAAAGAAGTATTGAAGCTGTCGAATTGATTTGACTCAGTAATGCAAGCCTAGTTCAGTCTGGAAGATAGCAAAACTAAAAAAGGCTATCAAAATCAAATAATTTGAGTGCAGAGCAGATGAATGAGCAGATTTTGCCATTCAACGTTTTGAGTTTTCCTCTCTTTCTCGCTATCACTGACTTTTACTTTCTTTTTCATGATCTGTACAGAGTTTCGGTCTTTAGGAGCTAAACTACGGTATAAAGATGATACATGTTAACCCTACCAGCAAGCTAGAAACCTCCGTGAGACGCCACTTCTAAAGTCATTTTAGAAAAAAAGAGCAGATGGCTGGACTCCAACGCACCCGTTTACAAACGTCCAAATCAAAATGAAGAAAACTTTTTGTCCTACGCAGAACGAAAATCACCATTGAAGCCAGGATCATGATAATTTGGGCTATTTACCAAACTCATGATAAGGATCCCAAAAATGGTGTTCTACGGGGTAACTAACAATCTGCACTCTACCTTTGATTTTGGAGTGATGACTTGGTTGATTGCGTCGTTAAGGCAAAATATCATCAATGTCATCACTGAGCGTACATCCGGATGATTCCGGTAAAGTTTCTTTTTCGTGATCATTACTAGTCTTTTAGGAACGGCAAATACTCACATGACTTAGCACCTCATCAACGTATTTGGCATGCACGGATCGCCACAACTTCGACATAAAAAATTGTGCTGGTTTGAGGAAATTTGCTGGTGCTAAACGTTCGTTTCATAATTGTCTTGAGGGAATGAAGTCTGCTATTATCGATAGGAGGGTGCAGCTGTCGATGTTGAGCACAAGTGAGAAACACGCAGTGAGTAAAAGGACCCATTTGCATCCTCTCTGACGCAAAATTTGGAGACCAGAATATGCCATTTTCATCGCCTGTTTTTTGTCAAATTTTAGTATTCAGATACTGAATAGGACGCATTGGTGGATGCTTAGAATAAAGAGGTTCGCTGTAAATTGGAGAATGAAGGCGCAACTTTGCTTTTTGATAGTGTAGCAGATGCAGTGCGTGGCACGTTGCTCATCAAGAAGCTTGTACGCGATGAATCCAGTCTGGGATTGTGGAAAAATATATGTGTTTTTTGTTTATAGTCGTAAAGCTATAGGATTTTACGTGCCATTGCGCGTGGTGGATTATATATGGTGAATCCAAGTTTGACGGATGCTCACGCTCATGAAAGTGCACCGCAGTACAGTGAAGCTGATGGCATTTGCGCAACAACTCAAGAACAAGAATATACTTGAAAAAGGCTCGAAAGCCGATCCGAATATTTGACCGATGGGGATGTAGCGCCATGGAAGCTTGATGCTAATGCTTCTTCGGATCCTTGATTGGACTTGATCTTCACCGACAAAGACGTGAAGAGCAAGATTGTTGGCTATTATGGTAAAGATGAACTC